TGCACAATAGTAACCTGAATATCATCTAAGCATTGTTGATTTTTGTTTCTTTAGACATGGGGTCTTGTTATGTTGCCCAGGCTGCCTCTGAACTCTAGGGCTCAGTCCTGCTGCACTAGCTTCCTGAGTAGCTGAGAAAATAGGAGCCTCCCACCACGCCTGGCTCTGAGCAGAGCAGGATATGCACGGGAAAGTGTATCTGAAGGTAGAAACACTCTGTGTTTTTAGAAAAGCCAACGTTTCTGCAGCTTACATGATTTTGAGAATAACAAATAGAAAACTAATAATTTTCAAACATAAAACATATGATTATATATTAATACATAGATTTCTTACCCTTGTGCTTTTAACCCTAAGAGGGACAAACCATCAACTTTAATGGTATATTCGGAAATGAGAACTCCTGACTTCCATATCGAACTGCCTGGCTTTGCTCTCGTTCTCATAGCTATGTAAGAAGCTTACTTAGGAAATGATAGAATATTTATGTTTCAGAATTTTAAATGCAGGATGAATTAAAACTTAAAGAGTCCTTGAATATAGTTCAAATAGTGTTCTAATCTTATTTTAAAATATAAATATCATCACCATCACACCCATAAATAAGTACTGCTTATCTAATTCTCATAGATTAGCAAATGCCACGCCAGTAATAGGAACAGACTCTAGAGCATTACAAAATTTTTCTTCTCTTCAATTTTTGCCCCCTTTTGTCTTTTTCTTATCTGAGGCAGCTAGAATTTTCCACTTTCATTGCCTGGAAGAAATGACACAGAAGTTTGCAGAGAACAAAGGTCAAATTTTTGGTACTTGACTTGCAAATACTTAAGTTTGCTCTTTGATACTAAATTTATAAAATCAGAAAAGATGAGAGCTGGGTTTTACTATTCACACACTGGGCAAGAGACTTGGACCAGAGAGCGCAAGTAGAATTATTTTTCCTTCTGCCCCTGGACAGGATTTGGGGGAAAGCACACATCTGCCACATTGATTTCTGTGCTCTGGGAGCAGGGGCGGCCTTTGCTGATTACACACAGCCTTGGAGCAGGAACCACGGAATTGTTATACAGCCCGGCTTGATGCAGGAGGAGTAGAGGGGAAATGGCCATACGGGTGAGACAGATGGACCTAAACATGGCCGTGACAGTTGCCCAGGGCTCAGCCTGGTTCAGGAATGGGAAAATGTTTCCCTCAAGCCCTGGCTGCCAAGGCTGCAGGCAGGAGGCCACTGCACGTGACAGTGCCTACAACAGGGAGGTGATGACGGGGTGATGACAGGTAGCAGGGCACAAGCTCATTTCTGCCCATCTCAGGGGATGCTGTGATCATCCTATGATGACAGACGGCTGGACCCTCTAGCTCTGGGGCCCCACACCATGCGCCAGCACTACAGAGACTTCTGGGCTCAGCTGCAATCCCAGGAGACAGAAATGAAGGAGATTTGGACTGACTGAGTTTCAGTTGCTAGCACTTGGAAGTGCAGGAGCTTGAAATAGAAGAAAAGTTTGACCATAGAAAAATTAAGGTTTACAAGAATAAAGATTTCATATTCCTTGGAAGATGAGAACTGAATGTTACCAAGTATACTTGTGGGCTTCTATTCCCCTGTCATTAGAGGAAACTAAAAGTGTCTTTCTCAAAGGGCGTCATGAGGATTACAGGTAAAAGTACATAAATTTCTCAGAATAGTTCCTTATAGTTAGTAGGTGCTATAAAATATTGACAATTACTCTTACCATTTTACCTATCATTCACCCAATCTCTTGTATAATATTTTTCAAAAAAAATTAACAATGTCTTATTTAGTCTTTCTACCAAACTGCTTAAAAATGAGTCAAGAGGTGTACCCATAGAATTTGAATTTTATGGGTAAGGGATTTGTTTGAAGGCAGTATCACATAATGATTAATAGCATTAATAGGCATTATCTTTCCTCCCCAAAAACAACTAATCAAGCTTCTGTAATTTGGATGTGTGCCCTAAAAGGTCTGTGAGTTCAAAGCTTGGATCCCAGCCTATGGTGCTATTGGGAAGTTGTATTAGCTTCCTGGTTTCTGAGACACAATACCCCATACCCACAACTTACAGGATGAAAGGTTTAATTTAGTTCGTGGGCTGGGGGAATTCAATCCAAAGCAGGAATATCATGGCAGAAGGGCTCGGGAGAGCACATCTACTTAGGACATGGCGGCCAGGACGCACAGCACAGGAACGGTGCTTATAAAAGTTATTGTAGGAAGTTCCTCGCAAGGATGAACATGATTTAAATAATCCTTTTTGGTGACAATGTTTAAATAGCTTATGAGAATAAAGGATCATTCTTTGAGTGATGTTTTACCTTTCTGTTTAAGACAGAAGTTTTATTTGACAATGTACTATGAAATTGTAAATGATCATTTTAACTGTTGGTTTTTCTTGTGTGTGTATAGATTAAAATACTGTACTTTACCTAATTGCAAATGCATCTAACACTGCCTGTTCACATATGTTTGAAGTCTATATATTCTAGAAGGACTTTCTGATTTAATTTAATGAGCATTAAGCCTAGTTTAAATATGGATGCCTTACCAATGTATAGCTTTGATAGCATAAGTTATCCAGATACAATAAAACAGAGAAATGAAAACCACAGCTGACAAGGAGATTCAGGCGATGAGAGGTGAGCAGAAAGAACTCAACATTATAAATTTCATCACCTGGATTCTAACGATAGTGATGAAATTTTGCCATCCTTCCTGGAAAGTTCCTGCCTATGCAGGAACGGACACAGCATGTCAACTGGCTGTTCTGAGGTTTTGAATAGAGGTCGTTTTTCTACTTCCAGATGACTGGCAGCACACATCATGGGGAGGATGCCTATAGATGAATTTGGAGGCACACAACATGTAGCGTGTCCACCTGTCTTCTGCTGAACATCTGAAATACATTATCTATTGAGTCCTCTTGACAACTCATGGACACAGGGATGCTTATTATGTCTATTTTACAGAAAAGAGTCCACTCTATTTCTCTTCATTGCCAGAATTTATGCCCAACTCTCAAGTTTGCTCTCACTTTTGCAGTGTTTCACTGCTTCCTTCTGAATTGTTCATTGCAGAATATGGCATCTTTAAGGATCATAACTGTAAGGATTGCTGATTTAGTTACTTCGTCTCTTGAAACTTAGCACTAAAGCTAAAGTTCCTAAAAGTTTCCCACTGAGAACCTACTTTTGGTGGTGAATTTGGAGCAGGTACCAGCTCCATATTCTGCTTTCTGAGACCATTTCATTTGGTGGGAGGCCCTCTGTCCCTCCAGAATTCTAAGTAGCCAGTACATCAAGAAAGAAGTGGACAGTAGGGTACAGAACACTGTTTTACTGTGGTTTTTTTTAAAGAAAAAACTACATAGTATTCAGTTACTTCAGCAGAAAGCTACTTTTTTAAAGAAATGTTTATAGTCCTTTAAATCAAAAGTAATGGTAGCTTTAGCTCACCAATTTAGATAGTATGATTATGCTTGAATTATTGCCACTAGCTAGAGACAGTGATCTAAACTGAGAAGTGCCCAAAACATAAGCAGATTGAGTTAGAAAAGTAAAAAATTGGGGGCATGAGTTGTAGCTCACTGGTGGAGCATTTATGTAGCCTGTGAGAGACCCTGGGCTTGAGCATCAACATGGGAGAAAGTAGTTTATTCTCATGAGATAAGCAAGAGTACAGCCTAGATAGCCGTTAGGGACACTTCACCCACGTGGTTAAGGTCAAGGGTGTGTATTATAGGATGGCTTATAAAGCAGAAATGACAAAGTTATTGAATCTTCACATGATTATTACAATGGAGGTCTTGCACAGCAGTGGACTGGTTAAAAGTGATAACTGAGTAACATTTTAGGATGATTCTTATTTCATGTTGGATTACCAGAGGCATTTGCAAGAACATAGCCAGTTTAGATTCCTTTTGGTTCAAGGTTTGCATAGGTCGCCTATGGCTAGGGAATTTTCAAGCTTGGTCTACGTTCTATTTTATCTTAACAGAAGTTTAACACCTCCACTGTAAGACTGTAAGAAGCCTGGATAGCCGAAGGCACTGAAACAGCAGCTTCTTAGGGTATATCCATGCAGCAGTTTGAATACTATCATTGCTGTGCATGTCTTCCACAGGCATAGGGCAGACGGTAAACACACATACTTCCATACATACTACCATACATACTAGTGTATTTCCTCATGAGTGATTAACCCTGTGATTTCACATTATTGATCAAAGGCTTATTTTTCTAGGAAGCTAGCTCCGAGAAATTCAAGTTCCTTTGTTAATTCGTGTTTTTGAAGTTTCAGAAATTTGAATAAAATCCCAATGGAGTATTATTTCCCCAGGTACGCTTGTTGGCTAGCAGCCTTACTTGTTGGCTTTATAAGGTCAAGTCTTATAAGGTTGGTGCGTGAATGATAGGTAAGTTACAGTTACATATGTTTTCTTTTTAGGAAGCCTCACTTTTCCTCCCTAGTATTAGTAAACAAAACAAAGATGAACCACAGGTAGTGTTTTTTATTGTCTGCCCTACGACTGGAGATTTCTTCCTTTTTTTACATTTAATTGTCCCAAATAACTACGGCATAGGTACAGTCATAAGAAACTGAGGCACAGAGTGGTTAGGAAATGTTCTCACATTTATGTCATTGATTATTGTGGTACCCAGGTTCAAGCCTGGGAAATCAGGCTCCAGAGCTCTATTCGGAATTTCTATGCTTTTCTGCCTCTAACACACAAACCGGGCAGGCTTGTCAGGTTAAAACACCCACAGTGGGTACTGGCACTGCTTTCCTGAAATCTTGGCAGCGACCTGGTTACCTAGAGGACGATGGAGTCTCTCAGGGAATGGCTGTTTTAAGCGAATGAACTAAATGGAAGTTTCCCTTCAGCAACCTGCAGTTTGCACTTGGGTTTACTTTGCTCTTTTGGCACTTCTGTCCCGGACAGGGAAATGTCCGCGGGTACCGCGTCTGCGCCGCACTCACCGCAGTTCTCCTCGTCAGCCTGGTTCCCGCAGTCGTCTGCCCCGTTGCAGTGCAGCTGCTGAGGCAGGCACTTGGTGACATTCCCGCAGGGGAAGAAGCCCAGGGGACACTTGACCTCCTGTGCGTGCCCAAGGGAGACTGTGAGGGAGACAGGAGGGGAGGCAGGACGTGGGTGAGGAAGGTTCACACAAGGACTGGGCAGAAGGCTTTCCCTAGTCCTAAACACCCAGCTACCCCCGTGGGTGGTACAGCCTGCAAATTACTGTTCTCCAGAAAACACTTTCCAAAAACCCTCATGTCTGTCGGATGCTCTCTCCCGTGATTCCAGACAATGCCAGGCTCTGACTCTCTCTGCTTTTCTTTGTGCTGTTTAGAACGTCCTCTCCATCTCTTTTTTGTGTTGTACCAGGGACTGAACCTGGGGCGTTTGCACTAAGCGACATGCTCAACCCTTTCCATGATTTTTTATTTTGAGACAAAGTCTTGCTAAGTCCCTAAGTTGCTCAGGCTGGGTTTGAAATTTTGTTCTCCTGCCTCAGCCTTCCAGAGTGCTAGGATTATAGGTGGGGGACACCACCCCTGCTTTATCCCTCTTTTTCTAAAAACATGAACTGTTGCTCGTAGATTACATGTCAGTTCAGTTCCTCTCTTCAACAAAAAGCTTTCAGCTAATAATTTAAAGAATCAGGGATTTACTGCATTCTTACTATGGGCTGAAAATCAGGGCTAGCCTGATATTGGAGGTAGAGGACTCAGCAACAAGAAAGCATGTGTCATGTGCTTACGGGGCTGTGGGCCGGAGAGGGTTAGAGCATCCTGAACTGCACCTCTGCTCTGGTGCAGGTTACAGCTACTGGGGAAGACCAAGTGAACACGGCCACAAACAAGTTCAGCAAAGTCTGAGAGGTGTGAAAGGGGAGACAGTGAGATGTGACGGAAACTCTATGCCGGGGCTTTTAAAAAGGACAAGGCAGGGTGGGGGGTTTGCAGCAAAATGGTGCCATTTAAGCTGAGACTTGAGGGAAGGAAAGGAAGCCAGCTGTGGTGTGGAGGGAGGAGGAGCAGGAGTGGGGAGTGGGGAGGTGGCTGAGGTGTGAAGGGGCCCAGGTACGGGAGGGGTTGGAGAAGGACGCAGAAGTGGAGCTGGCCAAGCAGGGATGAGCAGCACCACCTGGGTCTGAAGAGGGAGAGAAGGGTCCACGGACAAGGCAGAGGAATGAGGATTTTACTTAAAATGCAGAGGCACACATGGGAGGAACACAGCCTGTTTATACATGGTGCTGGGAAAATGAGATATCCACGTACAGAAGACTGAATCAGGCACATAGATCTTACCATGTCCTAAACTAAAATCAAAATGGATCAAAGATCCAAATGTGAAAATGGAAACCACACTGGAAGGCAAAATAGGTAAAGACATGGGCATAGGCAAAGCTATGGAAGACATGGGCATAGGCAAGAGCTTTCTGAACAGAGCCCCAGGAGCACAAGAAATAATACCAAGAATCAACAAATGCAATCACATCAAATTAAAAAGCTTCTGCACAGCAAAACCAAACTAAACCAAACTCAGACAAAACAAACCAAAACCAAAATGACTTACAAGTTGAAGAGACAACCTACAAAATTGGAAAAAAAAAATCTTGCCAGCTATTCTTTAGAGGAGTAACATCTAGAATATATAAAGAACATAAAAATATTAAACCCTTAAAATAAAAGACTCAATCAAAAAATGAGAAACCAAAGTAAATAGGAACTTTTCAGAAGTACAAGTGTAAAACAAATGTATGAAAAAATTCTCAACATCATTGGCCACTAGAGAAATTCAAGTTAAAACATCACTGAGATACCATCTTAACCCAGAAAGAATGGCTATCACTAAGAAATAAAAAAAAAATAATAAATGCTTGTGAGAGTATGGGGAAAAATGAACCCTTTTACATTGTTGGTCAGAATTCAACTACTATAGCCACTATGGCAGTCAATATGGAGATTTCTCAGGAAAACTAAAACTAGAAATTTGACCTAGCCATTCCCCTTCTAGGAATCATCCCTAAACAGATAGATTAATCATGTTACTGCATAGCCATGATTTTAGCAGTGCAATTCATTATAGCTAAATCTGGGAAGTGGCTTATGTGCCCATCAACAGGTGAACTGACAAAGGAAATGTGGTATTTATGCAGCAGAAAATGCACCCCGCCTCCCTGCAGTCTGTTAGTTGCCCAGATAACAGTTCCTGTTACAAGTTCCTGACTTCTCTTTCCTAGAAAGAGCTGGTCACTGTGACGCACAGATGGTCACTATGATGTACGTTGTAGGAAGCAATCAAAGACAGCCAAGTACACTGCTTCTGTACTTCCTGCTTGCTGATCCCGTATAAGCCCCAAACCAGTAGGGATCAGGACTTGATATTTTGGGAGTGAACCTGATCAGTGGAGGTGAAATAAATCTGCCTCCAAATTCTGGATGACATTTTCAGTGTTTCTCCTTGACACTGCATCTTGTGCGTTGGCCAGGAAGACCGATGTACTGACCTCTTTGGTCTTCAGTCATGGCCCTAGCGGGCTGAGCAAAGACCTCTGTATGTCCTGATGGGAAGGTGTGCTCTTGAGATATCTTGAGTCCCCTCTGAGATCTGGAGGAGGATTCCTGGCTCCCTGCTTGAGTGGCTCATATTGGATCCCAATGGGAGGAGGATGAAGTCTGTCTGTCTGTCTGCCTTTCTGCCTGATTCAGGCAAGATCCCTGGGGCAATCCATTAGTCTGTCTGTCATTCCTGCTCAGCTCAAGCAGAAGGAGAGTCTGATCAACCCTCGTTAGTCAGGCTGACCCTCAAAGGAAGTGGGTAGGAATGTGTAACCTCTGAGTGCCTGCTGAATGAATGTGTGAGTGAGTGGAACAGACAGAACAAGCAATAGGCTGGTCTATCTGCGCACCAAGACTGGGAAGCACTGGTGCTGGTGGCTGGTTGGGCCCTCACCTGCGGTTCCACAGTGATTGACACATGGCATAACAGAGGCTTTGCACCCTCCTTAGCTAAGTCCCACCTAAGTCCCCATGAGGGGCATGGTCAGGCGGGGATCTGAATGGTCTCTCTTTGAGGGGAGAGACCCTTTGTGTGTTGTGCCATCATTCAAGGGTACACTACACACATGTAACTAGCCAGAAATGGAAATTATTTAGTTCAAACCCACAGTTCTTGATGGAGTTAAAATGAAATCAACTTGCTGTTCCCTGCATCTAAAGAAAAAAGAGATCTATTTTCATGAGAATTCCACCTTGACACACTTGTTGGCCCCCACAGTTGTTGCCAATACTTATAGCTTCACCTGGCACCCAGCTCCCTACTTGTTTCCTTCCAGCCAATTGAATGGGTTCCAGGGAGCCATTGCCTGCTAGCCATTTGGCCACAGCACCCTGCACCCCCAGACACACCTGTCTGGGTCAGATGGCGTCATTTAACACCCACCAAGATGACCACCAGCAATTCCTTCTGAGATCCACATTTTAACTGAGGAAAAATTGGACTCTCAGCCCTGACAAATGAGTTCCCATGGCCTTTCCCAAAGGTTGTCCCACCTAGAAACATAAAATCAGTCAAGGGTTTCTCAAGGACATCAAACAGAACAGACAAAAATCCCATCAAACACTGTTACCCAGAAACTTGATAAAGAAAAGCACCTGATGTCCATAAGAAAATCCAGTCTGATAGACCATTTCCTCTGACTATGAGTCATAGGGTTATGGACATAAACATAAATGCTCCCTCTGTCTGTGAGACACAAAGAAACCTGACTATCCAGTCACACCCAGACCTGAACCTCTCCTTGTCTTGTCTGGCCTGAATGGGTAGGACAGACCAAGCTCTATTAAACTGAGTCCTCAAGAGCTCATGGTCATGGCAAAAGTCAGGGCAAAACCTGTAAATTTCTTGGTAAAACTTCCTTCAAATTTCCCTCTGTCAAGATGTTACCCCCATCAGGGCAAATAGGACTCTTGTCTTCCACCTCTTCTAAACTTGCAGTCTGGGAAGACATCTCCTTTGCACCAAGCCAGTCAGCTTCCCTCTCTTTTAATCCTGAACTTTTAATTTTGACTATTCCCTGAAAGAAAGATGATGCCTGCACCAGCCTATGGCAGAAAACTTCAATCTTGAAATTCTAAAACCTCTCCTTTCATAGGTATGGACCAAAGACTTGCCTCCAGGCCTGACCACCAACCATGCTGTGCGACCCTCAGACAGTATCTTATGTCATGGGAAGCACACAGGCATCCAGCCACACCTCAGCCACCTCAAGCAGTTTGGAATTCTGAGAGGCTGTTACTGCAAAGTGTTTATAGACTGTCAAACTGCTAAAATACGTCTCTCCTGCCTATAAAGCCAGTTCAAGATCTCCAAAATATTAATGCTGCCACTGTTGCCCTCTGTATACACTGCCTCAGTCTTCTGACATACATAGCCTGCTGATACACTTGCCTGGACTTAAAAAATGCTTTCTTCTGACTTTGATTGGCTTCTGTCAGCCAGCCCCTCTTTGCCTTTAAATGAAAAAACCCCAGTTCTGAACTTCAAGTTTAACAAACCTGGATTCAACCTCCTAGAGTTTTATAAACTTGTTTCCCCCCTTTGGGAAGCCCTCAGCTCAACTTACTAGTTTCCCAGCACAAAATATCACTGAACTTCTGATTAATAGCACTCAAGCTGCCTGCTGAAAAAGTACAAAATCTCTGTTGTAATATCTGGCAGAAACTCTTTACAAGAAAAAGCTCTGCAAATTTCTTGGAGCTGCTGGCTTCTATAAAATCTGTATCCTTGAGTTCACAAAAACAATGATGCTCACTCATACTGTCAGCCTGAGCACCCAGTGGCCTACCTGTGCAAATTCTTGGATCCAGTCACTAAGGGTTGCTTTTCCACTTTCCCTCACTGCTCTAACAGCCACTGTTCTTCTGATCAAAGAACCGACAAGCTCACTTTAGGCTGAGACCTCACTGTCCAGGTGCCACATGCTCTACTGGACCTCCTGAAATAACTGTGGACCACTCAGTCCTGCCCACCAAGCTGAACGCACCAGACCGTTACTGCTTGGTTCTGACTGACAAACTATTCTTGAGATGACCAGACTTAGAAATAA